TTTTGCTTTGTCGGATCCACTTCTTCATTACCGTATTAAATTTTCGTAGGTTATCATTTTTAAAATGACTAAAGAACAAATCCTTACCTTCTCTACTTATAAAAAAAACTGTTTTTTTTTGTGGCATTTTGAACCATTAAAATTACCGCGTAATTGAAGCCCAGGTTGATATTATGTTTACATTACTTTCCAATAAGTGAAAGTTACAACAAGCTCCAACAAAAGAGTGTTCATGAAAGATATTACTGAATTATAGGCGTAAAATACATCGAATATCAGGATACGGATAACGTGATCTTTATCAAAAGCTAGTCCATTTATCTACATCTCACAACACATTAAGTAAGTGTTATAAAACATCGAATTTTGCTAAGGCGTCAGTTATTTTAGTCAGAAAGCATGTTTGAATAGCTTTCCTGCAATAATAAAATGCACTGGTATTTGCAAATTTAGTTATTGGGGAGCATATCGTAAAAAAACAGTCGTCGCCTGGCCCGCTTGGCCAAAAAAGCTTACAAATACATTTCGCGTGGGCGAAATATCCAACTTTCTAGTTGCATTGTACCGATAAATAATATTTACTCCGTTATCTTTCACTCCTAAAGCTTTCAGTACACCCAGAATTTGTATGTGTACCATTATTCTGACATTGTTTTGAAATATTTTAAAATAGAATCCAACCTATTTAGGATGTTGTGTTTGTAAGAATATTTGCGATTTCAGACTGAAGACAAAAGTCGTGCTCTCAAGCTATCCCACTGAATATGCCATTTATGAACGTTTTTTTTAGATAACTACGATGGATAGTAAATTAGAGACCAGCTAAAACGGTTCATAAAATAAGATATCACGTTCATATTTTCGCGTACATGTATGCCTACGCCTTCTGATTTGCTTCTTACTATTAAACTCGAAAATAGTTCAGCAAAGGGTGCTCAACTGACCACATATGTACTAATATTCGCACCAATGATTAATACATTTATAGCATTCTCAACGCTCGCAATATTGCTTGTTGGAAATAAACAATTTATTTAAAAAAATCACAAAAATGCTGCAAGCAAGATTATCCACATAAAATGCGTTAGCTGCATTTCCATAAGGGCATTTACCTAATTTTCTCGTAAACGACATATCAATCACAATTCTGAAATAAGTTTTTGATTTGAAACAAACTACCTTTCTGGGGTTGTAGTATTGCAATTAATGCAGGATCAGCCCAAGATAGTTCAACCCCTTAGGAATGCTAGCTTTCGAAAAAACGACTTTTTCTACCGCCAGCAAAAGCAACGTTCCGTAAAAAATGACTGCATAAAAATATGAAGAGGAAACTTTAATGGAACAAATAAACTTCACTAGTGCTCTTCAGGTGGCGCCTCTTGCTGCATAACATGAATAACGTATGAGTAAATACAAAAAAATGAATTCGAATGGAGAATTCGATCCAAACGGCAAGGTCTTAAAAGGTGGCCGCAAAGGCTAGTTAACAAAGTAAGCAAGTTAAACACTGTGAGAGGCAAACATGTGCGTATACATTTTGTAAGCAGGTGGCCTGTTGACAAAATGCATACCCACACCCCAGTAGAATCTGACATATTTTCCATTTTTTACTGTATGAGTTTTGTCCCTTTTCCATCTTGAAGTGCCTCCTGTAAAACCAATATAATCAAAAATGCCGTATTACAGTTTCCTAGGTTATTTGTTTTAAAAGAGGCTATAGAACCTATCCTTACATTTTGTAAACAGGTGGCATGCCGCAACTGAAGAGTGCTCGCGAAAGTTATGGTTCCATTAAATTCTGCTTTTTATGCAATCCTCAAATTTGCACCAGGGAGAGGATGCTTCTATTCCCAGATTTATCTCCGATGTCGTTGAAATAATCAGTCATTTCAGAGAACACACATGAAAATTATTATTTCTTGTTCATGTTTGGTAGGAAAAGTACATCTTCCTTTAAATGTATTTTCGAGAAAGTGCATCGTGCGTTTTTTAAACACTTTCTCAATGACGTAAATATATTTGATAAAACCTGTCGTTATACTTGCATTTAAAGTTTCGAAAATATGAAGGAGCCTGCCCCCCCTCCCAGCGCTGCCATGATCGCTCATTCTGCCTGCTCTGTCAATGTGGCCAGTAAATCGATTTTTGCGCATCG